CACACATACACAAAGCAGGGCYGATACATTGGGAAGCAGGCTTTCGGCCTTTGCAAAAGCAGTAGTGCCAACGCACCTGCCTGGGAGCCCTGCACAGATSCAGCAAACAGCCCAAGTCCGGAGACTCAGGCCGTGCATAACTGCAAAGGGCCCAGGCCCTCAACTGTAGTCTCGGGCCTGGGCGCAGGGTCTGGGACCCAACCGGAAGCTACTGGAAGCTTCCATCCAGGCCACACACAGCATCCAAGAGGCTGCCACTTCCACAAAAGGAGGGAAGCAGCCCGGGCCAGGGACTCTGGCCAGCGCTGGCAATGCAGAAGTGCTGCTGCCAAGGGCGCTGACGGGGCACGAGAGGTGTTGTGGGGCGCTGCAGGGCAGCGGGGCGCAGGCAGCCATAGCTGGGCTGCTGGGCGCCAGGGGGTACAGCGGATGATCAGGTGGTCTCAGGGAAGGAGGCGCTGTGTGGGGTAATCAAGGTCTGATTGAGGGTGACGAGATACGTACCTGGTACATGAAGAGAGGTCGGCGATGGTGTTGGCAGTCATGTACATTGGTCTTCGAGAGTCGAAGTGATCCTGTTGCGTGAACCGGCTGTAGGTAGGCCAGTCAGGTAGAGTAGGCTGGGCGCCGAACGCCAGACAGGAGAGAGCGACTTTGGATACTGTGTTGGTGTGGCCTACGGCCTTGGACATTGGCTCATTACTTCATTGTATTGCTCTATATGGATGGTTTTCTCGGTGCATTTGTACTCTCTGCTTGGGACACGATTACTTGTTCAGCTGTGTGATTTCGCAACTTGGTTTTATGTATATCGCTCACACTCATATTCCTTGCACAGCATAGATACAGAGAATGATGTATGGATGTGCGTGTGTGTGTGTGTGCGTGTGTGTGTGTGTGTGTGTGTGTGTGTGTGTGTGTGTGTGTGTGTGTGTGTGTGTGTGAGAGAGAGAGAGAGAGAGAGAGAGAGAGAGAGAGGTGAATGGACATCTGAGTGAGTACAGACATCCATAGGAGATCAGCTTCCATAGCCTAAGGAGAGAAGGATGTACGGATGTGTGTGAGTGTGGGTGTGGGTGAGAGAGATAGAGAGAGAGAGAGGATGTATGGATGTGTCACAGAGAAAGAGAGAAGGGGG